AGAACCTCACTTCTTCAGATGCAAGAAGTGAGGTTCTTACCCACAAAAGCTTATGCTCCCAGTACTTCTGTTAGTCTCAAAGGTGCCACAGGACCCTCTGTTGCTTATATTATGGTGACACCTAAAATCCCGAAAGGCCTTATTGCCCCAGGCACTGTCAAAACACAAATCAAGAGAGGCCCTGCCATATGGAGTTTACAGTCAAGATAGACCAGACGAGTGGGAGGGGAAACAGATGATAGAGAGGTGAAGGAACTTGCCCAAGTCACACGGCAGATCTGTTGCAGAAACAAAAATAGAACCCGAGTCTTTTAAGTCCGAGTGCAGCACCATAACCACTGGACAACACTGCCTTTCCATGTGGGGAAGTTCAGACCTGCAGCTCCTATACAGCCCCCTCTCAATATTACTTTCCCTCTTCTGTTGGGTCTTGCGGTAATGAGGGTGAGTTTTAGCTCAGGTGTCTGTTTCCATTCCAGTCTCTGGGCAGAGGGGTCAGGGGGGTTGTTGCAGGGAGAGCTAGAGGAGAATCAGATACTGTCCTGCCAGTTACAGAAAGAGACACACCCACCAGCAGGGAGCTGCTTAAAGACTGCAAAATCCAGAGTAACAGCTGAGTAGCTAACTAACTATTCAATAACCCAGATTTTGGCTTTCAGCCAATTTATAAAGCCCTGGTATTAGGGATGTGAAATACCGATAAACCCTACTCGAACCTGCATCGCACACACTGCCTGATCCACTCACCTCAGCTTTCTCTCCATAGGAAGGAAAGGGAAACCACCTCAGACCCTGTTTACCGAGTGTCCGAACTCTCCAAGCTGCACAGGTATCTCTGCTTGTCTGTGTCTCCCTCTTGGTCCCTAAGGACTTTCCCAGCTGTCTCAGTAACATGTGAGGTTTCTGCATTTCCAGACCAGGAGAAGTTACGTGTCTTGGGAGGAGAGGACGGATGCTCGGGCAGAGTGGAGGTTTGGTACCGTGGCTCCTGGGGAACAGTTTGTGATGACTCCTGGGACATGGCGGATGCTAACGTTGTGTGTAAACAACTGGGCTGTGGATCTGCTGTATCTGCCCCAGGGGAGGCTGCATTCGGCGAGGGGACTGGCCCCATCTGGGTGGAGACGTTGAATTGCAGAGGGACAGAGTCATCTCTCTGGGACTGTTGTTCCAAGCCCTGGGGTGAGAGTAACTGTGACCATAAGGAAGATGCTGCCGTGAATTGCTCAGGTGAGTGACAGGAGATGTTTCTGCTACATGCTGTAATTTTCAGGGAGCAGTATGGACCAGCCCCTCCCCCCACTTTGTTCCCAGACCAGGCCCTCCCATCTCCTGTGTGCAGGAGGATCCTGGATGTTGTGGGATGGATCCTTTCTCAGGTCAGATTGGCTCAGACATCAGCCCACAAAGCCCCTGTATTCATCACAGGCACCAGTGTGCTGGTTTGTTACTAGTGTCCTCATTGTTGTACAGAGCACAAGGGACTTGGGCCCCAAATCACTAACAAACAGGCCCTGTGCTGCTGTGAGGGAGTTTGTGGAAGTGACAGCTGGACAGTGGCCCCAAGGCCTCTCAGAGGTGAGGTTCTACCTGTTAACAAACACATCACCTCCCCCTCACTCCAGGCTCCAACTCTCCTTCCTTTCCCTTTGCAGGTCCGACAGAGAGGACAGATTCTCTGAATACCCCAGTGTGACACTCTGTTCCTTGGCGGGACACCCTACACCCCATGTTCATCTTTATAAAATGATTATGTGGTATCCAATGAAAGATTGTCATGTTAGGTGTCTTCGCAAGGCTCATGATGCAATGAGCATGGTTGTTATAGTGATGTTATAGTAATCGTTTCAGTAAGGTTATAATAAGGTTATAATTTCATGTATATACTTATGAGGCTGAAAATGTATCCTCAGGGCTTAAAGCAAGCCCAGGCAAAA